TCAACTAATAATTAAAATTAAAATAAAATAAAGTAATTAATGAAGGATAATCACGTGATTTCGTATTTATCTGTAATCTTGGTGATATTATTATCCTTAAAATTACATACAAATAATGTACTCGTTGATATCAAATTTACTATCACACTATTATCATAATAAAATCACGTGAACATGCATGAAGCGCTAATCGTAGACGTTATCATAATTGGTTTTTGATTATCACAACATATCATATTATTATCACAACAAAATCACGTAATTTATCAGATGATTATCACAGCAAAATCAGAATATAAAAAATCTTCAACTCATTTAAACATTATCATATCATTATCACAGCATTACCATATCATTATCGTCAACAGACGCATCAATATTTAAGAGATAAAGACAAATCTAAGATAAAATAAAATTGTAGATAAATACTAATTTATTCTAATTTTTATTATTTGTTAATTAATTTGAAGGCCCACAAATATTCTCGCATTTTCATAAAACATTTATATATATATATATATATATATATATAGGGGCCTATTCAAGGGAGAACTAAGTTGTTTGTGGTAACTGTGAGAACCAATCTCAGCCACAAATCAATAGATAAATTAGGAAATTTATAATTTTGGTAATTTTTTATTAAAATTTTAATGCAAGTACATTTTAGGTATTTTCTCTCATCTCTCCTCTCTTCTCTCTCCGTCCCCGTCTTCCGGCCACCGTCGTCCGGCCTCCGGCCTCCGATGATACCACAGTGTGATACTCAAACACATATAAGATACATTGTGATACCACTGTGTTACATATCCGATCGACCGCACAAACGACCACATTGTGATACCCAATCACATATATGATGCATTGTGATACCACTGTGGTATCACCGGAGGACGGTGGTCGGAGGATGGTGGTCGGAGGCCGGGGGATGTAGAGAGAAGAGAGGAGATAGGAGAGAGGAGATAAAATACCTAAAATACCCTTGCATTAAAATTTTAATTGAAAATTATCAAAATTACCAAAATTATAAATTTCCTAATTTATCTATTGATTTGTGGCTGAGATTGGTTCCCACGGTTACCACAAACTAATTAGTTCTCATTTGATTAAGCCCCTATATATATATATAGACTTAATCATTTGAGAACTTGATTATATATATATATATATATATATATATATATAGACTTAATCATTTGAGAACTTGATTTATCCTTAAAATCACGTTTCAATCAATCATATCTATACCTAAACCCACCATTTGTTCTTCTCCCCTCATAACCGATTGATGAGAGTGCCCACCACCCAAATTCTATCCCAACGCTTAAAATCAAACACCTTCATTGGACAAGAAAAACGAAATCCATAAGAAAAAAAAAAAACGAGATGGAGAATGATCGAGACCGAGAAAACCGAACTCGGGGAAGACAATTGGAAAGCAGAAATAGAATGGAGAGTTAAAACGAAATGAAGAACCTCACTCAGATCGATTCCCCTATAGCGAAACAAAGAGTAGAAGAAACACTGTTGTTTATTGTTGTCAAGGTTCGGAATATCCGTTTTGGGTAAATATTTCGAATATCGGTTTCTTGGATAAAGATTTTGAATACAGGTTCTTGACAATAACAAGAGGTTTTTGAATCTGGGTTTGATTCCGGATTCTTTTTTTATTTTGGAATTTTCGATGATAAAGGGTTTGATTTTTGAGTTTTTTTGAATCTGATGAGGATCTTACAATATGTGTTGTATGCACTGTGCACATTGTTATCCAACCACAAAACCACCATTTGTAGATTGTGCACACTGTGAACAATGCATTCATCTGCTCGCATCCATCTTCGAGTGCTGTTCATGTGGTCAACGTCAATGTAAACATTATGAACCTTTTCAACAGCAATACATTGTGAATATGGTCATAACCTAAACTAGTGAAATGAGTGTTCGCATAGTGTTTCACTTGTCATAATCGAAACCAACAAAGATATATTCACAAAGTTTCACAATAAATTGGTCGAGAGGAGAGAGATTACAAAAAATCTACGATGAATTTTCTATGCTAAAAATTAATTATTCCTTAAAAGGCGAAGGTTGTTTTAAAACATGTTTAAAATATCAATTAATTAAAATTACAACTAATTAATGTGTTTATATGACTTACAATGGACCTTACAGTTCTTATAAATTATAGCGATCTCAAAAGAAGGCCCCTATATATATGATCAAATGCAAACAAGTCATTTGTACAAACCGTTCAAACTTCATTCAACCAATCATAGTTTTTTTTCAATTAAAAGGTTGATTAGTCACTTTTAATCAAAACGAGAAATAAATGAAACAATTTCATTTTTACATAGAAACAAAAATATATTAAACAATTTCATTAAGATAAGGATTATATGAAACAATTTCATCATATTAAATAATTTCATTAAATTAAACAATAAAATTGATGATTTATGCCGTTTGTACAAGTGACTTGGTTTGCATCTGATCCCTCCTCTATATATATTTACACATAAACACACACACATACACACACACACACATATATATATATATATATATAGAGAGAGAGAGAGAGAGAGAGAGAGAAGTTCAATTGCAAACCGATTTTTGGCTCTAATCTGGGGGACAAAGGAGGGCACAACACGTGTTATCGTTATCCATATTCATTATGAATAATAAATAGCATTCAGTATGAATAACGAGTAACATTCAGTATGAATAACGAGTAACATTCAGTATGAATAACGAAGGTGAAGTTAATGAATTATTCATGATGAATGATACAACATTCATGATGAATAACGCATAATCATGATCCATGTTAAATTGATTTCATTATTCATGTCTTCATGATGAATATACACATTCATCATTATTCATTATGAAGAACTCATGGAAGCAAAGGACAAGTGTCTCGTTCTCCTTTGTCTCTCGGTTTTCATTTGAACTCACCTCTACATGCACACACACACACACACACACATATATATACATATAGGCAAATGATTGTATGAGACAGGGAGTTAAGATAAGAAGCATAAGAAGAGATCTGGAACCTTGATCACCTTTAATCTCAAACTCACCCATGAATGCTTGATACGAGGACTGCTCTGGTGTATCTCGGTGCATATCATCTTAATGTGCATCTAAGGGTGGATATTCCTCCTTACGCTTTTTACCTTAACTCTCCTTTTCACCGGAACTCAACCCTATATACACACACACTGACATAGTTAGAACTTTAATAAATTGTATCATATAAATTTTCGTTGAGACCGAGGGGTATCTTCATCCCTTGTTTCTAACTAAATCTCCACTCTCATCTCATCTCTAGTCAACTTGGGGATTCTATTAGATTCTCCATCTTGTACTAGTTCTTTTTCATCTCTAATAGAGTCTGGAAAGAATAAGATGTACACAGACGTTTCATCTACACCAAGCCAGCTAAATACCACTCTTATTGTAAGCATTTTTTTTTATGAACAATTATCTAATTAAAACTAAGGAGTCGTTTACCAAACACTTACCAGGTAAGCGCTTTCGAGTAAAATTTAACACTATCATTTACTTATCAGGTAAGATTTTAGTCCACCAAAACGGTATCTTATGCAAGAGTCATCGTCCTCACTTATTGTCTCCCTCTTACTGGGTAAGATTCTTGGTCCTTACCACATTCATCCGGTAAAGTAATGTGACTTGATGTTCACTTACCCGAGTAAGCGTTTGGCAAACGGCCCCTAAGGGTTCGTTTAACAACACAAATTTGGTAAGCTTTGACATAGTAAGTGAGGTTGTTAATCCTTACTGGGACAACATCTCGGTCAACGACATTGTGGCTGAGAGTACGTGGGTAAACAACATTATTCTTAATTGGTATGCACAATTTATCTGGTAAAAGCAGTTGTTGTTCAGTAAACAGGATTTAAGGGTGCGTTTGGTATACTTGATATGACAGGACAGAACAGAACAGAACAGAAACGAACCGAACCGAACCGTTGTTCCATGTTTAGCAACGGATATATGTAGAACATGTAAAAACAGAGTGGAACAAGCAAAACAAAGTGGAACAAGCGTGTTCCACCCCCACCCCATGGAACAAGCTAGAATCGACTTGTGTTTTATCAATATCTATATTATGTTATAAAGCATTTGACAAAAACTCTTAAAAATTATTTTTGTATGCATGAAATACTGTTTATTTATGCATATTACTTAAAATTCAGGATTACAAGTAAATTGTACGTAAATACAACTTATTAAAGCTTCATATTTGAATTCGTGTAACTAACTGCAGATAAAGATAATAAAATAGAGGATAATTATCTCATTTTAAATATAAAAAATCTAAAACATAATTAAGATAATCATTGAATTATAACAAAATATTTAATTATTATCTTTATAAAAATTATATTATTAAATCAGAAATAAAAAAATGAGAAATTTTAAATAGTTAGTTTGGTACTAATATTAAGATTTTGTTTCCAATTTTTTATGAATCTTTATATTTATAGTTTATTCAAAACTAAAAACATTATCGTTTTCTCAAAACCACATAGCACCGTATTATTACATCGACTGAAACAAAAACAAAAAGAACGAACGACTAAAATCGAGATATATCTCGCTGCATTGTGTTTTATCAAATACAATCTTAAAATAAACTTTAATCATCTTCTAAAACATCAAGTACGTCTTCTTTTTTATATTTTATTTGTTCTCCTTAAATTTTCACTTTATTGTCCTCAAAATATTACTTTTATATAGTTTTTATATTTTGATCCATTTATATAATTTATTAAATATTAATAATAAAAAATATGTAAAATAATAATTGTAAACTTTTAATATAATAACATTTTAACAAAAACCTTTTAATGATATGTAAAAATATTTATTTTATTATAATTTAATAAATTATAAATTAATTAATATATATATATATATATATATATATATATATATATATAAACAGTCATCACATGAAGACGTAGCAGTGACCAAACATATCCATCTCCATTATGCATTATCCCCCTTCAACCAAAACAGAATACATCAAATTCAAGTTATATTCATGGAGTAACATTAAAATTTGAGCACTTCCATTTCATGTTTCAGAAAATCCTTTGCTTTAACCTAATAAATCATATGTACACTCGATTCAACTCTCACTTCTACCCCCAAGTGGAGTAACGATGAATTCAAACTAAACGTACCCGATGTATCCCACTCAGTCTGGACCCCCAAGGGTAGGGAGGTTGTTTTCGTGAAAGATTCCAGTTTGGAATGACGAAAAGAACATATAACCTGTACAAGACTATCGTACGATATCTCCATTCGCTTTCCGATCATCATTCCCCGTCCAAAAAGTTGTGAGGCATGTCAATCAGAGCCAATCGTTCGTTTTGGTTGCATCTTCATATACTTATAACCAGCGGTGGAATCGTATAGATGTGGTCCAGGATTCATTCGTGTTCAGCCATAACTACCGGAGCTGAAAATACTGGTTCAAGATTCTCGTTTATGCTCTTTGTTGGTCTTTTGGTTCTCTGGGGTGTCTGCTGGTGCATGTTGGCGTGTGGAAGCCGATCATCGGATTCTGATCCCGATACTATTGTATTGGAGGCCAAAGAATCGAGCTTTTTTGGAGCTTTTTGAGGTCTTGGTTTTGGAGTTCCTTTTTCGCTACTAGTTTTTCTCTGGAAAAAAACAGGTTGTCAATAGGTAATAAAAATACGGTAAAATGCTAGAAATTTAAAAATAAAAATAATGGATACCCGGTCTGTCCCAAAATAAATGTTCTCAATGTAAAATCACACAGTTTTGGAACCGTGTGATTATTACATTTCTTAATTAACTAAATAACAATTTTACCCTCCATCTCACACATTAAGGATAGAATTGCAAATTCGATACTTACTTTGGAAAGTGGGCATAAACTAAAATAGAAATATAGACATTGATTTTAGGACGGATGGAGTAGATAATGGTAGTGTCTTTGTGAAAATCATGGGAATCGCAAGTCTCCGTACCTTCTTACTGGACACCGGTTTCTCGGCAGGAGAGGACGTGTATACATCTGCAGGAGATTCAGGATTCATAAGATCCTCTAAGCGTGCATCACCTTCTGCATCTATCCTTATAGCTTTAGTCCCGCCTTTTCTTTTTTGTCGATCTTTAACCTAATTTTGAACAGACGGGGTGCATGATAGTCAGATCATATAATAAATTGTCCTTTTCGATTAGGGAAAATTGCATTAAAATGCAACGTACTATGTTCGAATTCCAATTTTGTGTATTGTAGTTTCAAAACCTTCATTTTTTTAATTCAGATGTGACATCTCAAACATTTAGGTACCAAGTTTACATTCAAGAATGCATCAAAATGCAATATACTTTGGTCGAAATGTGTGAGATCACATCCGAGGTACCAAAATTAAGGTTTTGAAAGTTCGATACACAAAATAAGAATCAAACCAAAGTATGATGCAGTTTCATGCAATTTGCCCTTTGGAATTTTTAGCTTATAACATCGTCAGAAGAAAAAAGAAAGAGCAATTGACATATTAAATCCTATCATTTTTATTCACATAGTCAAAGTCCAAAGGTTACTTTACAGGCAATCCTGTTTTTGAAGTTGAAGTGTTAAGAAGACAAGAATGCCCTTGGATATCATTTTCAACAGAAAGAGCAGAAGTGGATGATACCTGTGCTGGAATTTCTTTTAGCTTCTGCTCCATTTGTGCATCATCTATCAGCAAAGAAATAACATCTTCAGGAGCTAATATGTCACCCTGTATATGACCACCAGTCATGACTAATTGCTGGACAGTACTTTTCTGGCTAGCTCTGTGTAAAATCTTTTCTTCCACTGTTTCTTTGCAAATTAACCTATATACTGTAACCTACATCATGAAATGGAAGACTCAGTTATTAATCCCAGAACCGATGAGAATATATTGAGGTTTAAGTGAAGCAAAATGATGCCAAATATAATATTAGCAAAAGTTACCACATGGAGAAGTGTATAAACAGTGGTTAATTGCTGATAAAAGTCTACTAATCATTTGAAATACTTCCTCCGTCCCAAAGTAAATGTCCACAATGAAAAAGGCATACAGTTTTAGAGATGTGTAATTATTACACTTCTTGATTAACTAAAAGACAATTTTAACCTTAATAATAGAGGGAGTAATGAATTACTCCATTTCATAATCAAGGTTAAAATTGAAAAACAGGCACTTACTTTTGGAAGTGTACACTTATTTTGAGACAAACCAACATAGGAACATGGCACTTCGTTCAGAACAGAGGGAGTAATTTACTTAGAAGCTTGTCACACAGATAGATACCTCATAAGACACTCGAGTTAAATAAGGGAAGTATCTTTCGAAGATAATTACAAGTTAAGGACTACAACCTATCAAACAAGAGAGTCCTATAAGACCTAGAAGCTTGGTGATATGGCTTGAACCTTATCTGATATAAAGGCAGTAAAAGTTCATCAAGAGAAAACTAACATCTTTAGTCTGACCCAACCGATGAGCCCTGTCCATTGCTTGTAAATCCAATGTCGGATTCCAATCACTTTCATAAAATATGACTGTGTCAGCAGCAGTCAAATTGATCCCAACGCCACCAGCTCTTGTGCTCAGCAAGAATACAAAAATATCACTCCTACAAGAGGAAAACAAGTGTTAACCAAGCAACATGTATATCTTCTAGGAAGAAACTCAGAAAACAAAATACTAATAACTGAAACATATAATCCAGCATGCACGTTAACAATCCCTATGAATGGACATTCAAAGAATGCACAGTTATATATAGAGGATATGATTGAAATGAAATAAAAATATGCATAACCTACATTTGGGTTTACAAGTTTGTTTTAATAAGGTAAACTGAAGTGATAAATTTGTAGCAATAAAATTTCCTCAAAAGAAAAGTAAACTAATATTGGGAGATTTGAAGCAGAAAGTGAAGCAATAGGGAATAATTATAATAGATGATATAATTTTCTCACCGATGTTGGAAGTCTTTGACCATGTCCCGACGGTCCATTATGGTAGAGGATCCATCAAGCCGTAAGTATCTGTATTTCCTATAGTTCATGTAATCCTGCAAGCAAATGTAAGAGAAACCATCAAGAAAAGATTTTCAAAATAACTCGGGGAAATGGCAAATAAATATGTCCAATGAAGAACAAGCAACCTTGCCACTCACTAAGTATTTTAAAACCTTATGGAGTTTGGGATACCTCAATGATATTCAACATCTTGGTCATTTGTGCAAACAGGAGAACACGATGATTTCCTGCACGCAAGCGTTTCAAAAGTATATCCAATGTTTGAAGCTTCCCCGAGTCCTAAAGGATTAATCAACATCAATTCAAGTTAGCAGAATCACCAAAGATGGATCAAATATACTCCATCCGTCCCAAATAAGTATCCACATTTCTATTTTTGTTTGTCCCAAAGTAATTGTCCACCTTCAAATGTAAGTGCCTACTTTCCAATTCTATCCTTAATAATGAGATAGAGAACTCATTGCTCCCTATATAATTAAAGGTAAAATTGTCATTTAGTTAATTAATAAGTGTACTAGTTGCACATATCTGAAACTATATGCTTTTTCCATTGTGGACAATTATTTTGGACGGAAGGACTATAAGCAAACAAGAAGTTTCAAGCAGATGGAATATTAGATGTTTGTACTGTGAGCATCTTCGCAGGATCAAAACTCTGCATAGGAGGACATGAACCGAAAATCTTGTGAGTCAGCTGGAGAGCAGGTTGCAAAACAGGTAGTTCATTGTCAATTTCCTGTATCAGATGGTGAGGAGCACCATCTGGCTTTTTAGGTCCATTACAGTCAGACGTGCGTCCAAAGCCAACCAATAACCTCTTAATCCAAGGATGATGTAGCTCCTCAACCTTCCTGTAAGCAAAATCTCTGTCTGGACAGTCCGTATCAATCTATCAATCACATTAGAAACCACGTCAATAACGTAAATAATTTTTTAAGACAGATGATATATTCAGACGGCGATACCAGGGGAGCAGATTTGCCCCATGTTCATCACCATTGATATATGAAAATACTTTATTATTGACCCTCAAGGGTGTGTTTGGTATAGGGGACGGGACTGGACAGGATAGAATAAAAACTTATTTTCCCGCATTTGGTGCAACATTAAAAGGACAGGACTGAGTGGGAGAAAAATGCATTTTTTGTCCCACCAAAATAGGTGGAACAAGATCAGGGAGACGGGATAAGATAGTAAATTACTAAACTACCCAAGTCAAATTAAAACCCTAAAACCATTCACAATTCTTTCACACGCCTACCTCACTCTCGCTAGTCCAGTCCCGTCCACATGCCATGCACACGAATTTATGAGCACAAGTCAAGGTATCTTCGACTTAATGATTTCTCTCTGTTCTCTACTTATCAATGAAATTGAAATAGTTGTTACTACTGAACATACATTAGACGGCCGTTATTCAGTAGTCATATTGACTGATCTGCGAAGTCACATGCCTATGGATAAACCAATTATTTAGCAATTGCCAAATATGTCTAGGTGCACCTTCAATAACAGTTATTGATGCTTGAAATTCTATAAAGCAAAATGTTCCAAAGAGAACTGAAAAAGTGAAGTGATAGCTTCAAGGGATAGATATAATAACATTGTATGCCATGATAAATAAAAAAGGAAAACAGAAAAGGAGGAAAAGAGCAGAAAAGATTTATGTATGTGTAGATATAATTTAATAATAATACTTACAGGAGGTGCCCTTATCTGCGGAATGAAAGAGAAAGCTGAATGAAGAAGTCGAACATTGGATGCAAGCCTATCCTGATGTGAGAGGACCAACGCCTCAAACGGAGCATCCCCAGGTCCAGTTGCAAGTCTCCTCCTAAGAACATTTGTTTCCGACTTGGATGGCATTAGTAACATTTTTGTTACTGCTCTTACTTTTTCCTTTCCAAGATGATTGTACTCAATATCTTTATCCTCACTTTCCATTATGAAGTCCACGACCCCATCCGAAAAATGCCAATCCCATCTCTCAATAGAAAACAATAACCTCTCCATCAAAGAAGAATTTGCTATAAACCCTGCTTCTGCTGGTGACAGATCAATCAATCGAGTAAACCCAAATGTTCCATCTTTAGTAGAGGGCCCATGTTCATCTTGCTTAAATATGGATTGATAAATGTTTACTGGGGAGAATATGTTAAAATGTTTCTCAAGAAATTCTCTTTTGATATTATGCTTTCCTCCTGATAAAAGAACATCTGAACTTCGCACAATTTCTTGGTATATTAATTTCGGTACCTGCAAAAAGAATTGCCATTAACAGGATAGAAGTTAAGAGCTATGGCAAACAAAAAACAAACCAAAAAACACATGTACGTGCATTACAGAAGGCAGTCTTTGATGAAATCTTCATATGGCAAAGACAGTTTGGGAAGGATGATACACAAGGTGCGAATAAATTAATATAACTCCCTACAACCTCGGCTCCTTTAATATGGGAGGTAACTCAAGATGCCATAGAAATTATCACGCAAAGTTGGTTCCTTTGATGTTCTACAAGTACAAAAACATGCAGTTGGTATTGCCTGCCTTGGTAAACACTAAACAGTGGCCACTTAGAGTGTTTGTGGTGTAGTTTAGGGACAAAACCACAAAACGCACTGCATATGCGGTTTGAGCATTTTCCCAAAACCGCAAACCACAATGCATATGCCTCAAACCGCAAACAGGAACAGTTCATTATTGCAAGGGAAAGACTAGCCTCTCGAAAAGCTAGATATCCTTTCATTTTGTCAATCAATCATCAGACTCAATGCTTTGAGTTAGTATTTGATCCCTTTTTCGGATTTTGAATCTTAGCAAGCTGTATATCCACCACTCAAAAAGTTCAGTGAAGAAGTCTATACCAATATGACCACCTTAAAAATTATATAGCACCGTCCAGACACCCTCACTTATCATAACTTTTCTCTCTTTCATCACTAGATTCATCAACACTTTAAAACAACAGTGAGACACTTACATGGCCAAAATTCATCAACCCATCCTCCACAAAGAACTTCTCAGACCTCTCTCTTTGGTATTGGATTGGGATTTACATGGATTGTTTGGTTTGGTCTAATAAATTTGAAAAAGCCAACAAAATAATAGGCCGTACAAGAAAAGAGCCATTCCTGGAAGTAAGGACGAACCCAGATAATTATATCGTTATTGAAACAAAATCTGAAGAGGAAGACTATATACCCATCAAGAACTATTGGATCTATCCAGTGTAAAGAATATAAAAAGACCTTTTCATTCAATGTGATCAAGGTTGATCACCACCACAGGAAAAAAAATGAGGATAATGAAAGCATAGACAACACTAATTTTAGATCTGCAGTGATTTGCAAGAAATGTGGTACCTAGTAGTAGAAACGGTAATAGCTATTTGATGATAGGTATTAATTATGATTTTATGTATAGCTGGCTCTTCAACTGAATGCAAAACACATGGGAACTTTATTCTATAAATGGAATTCAACTTGGAAAACAGACTTGGCGGTCTGACTGGAATCCATAATATGCACAGTTGCCCTAGCACATGATTTTGGTCAATTGCCTTTTTCTAGCATGGCATTAACAAAATAGATGCTAGTTTTGTGGACTCTAGGCCAGGAGTGAAGGATACCAGAATCAAACAAAACAAATCAAGCAATTACCTTGTATGTAATAGGATTTTTACTCCCAGAGTAGTATACGTCCTCCAGTTCCCCAAACGGAGGTGGAAGAAGTGGATTCGGGATATCACCAAAATAGAAGTATGAACTTCCTTCGTTTCTCTCAAATAACTCTGGATGGTTGCAAACCTGTCACCACAAGGTATGAAAGAGAACATGATGGCTCAAACAGAACTAGAAAATGATACTCGGGGGATTAAAACGATGATAAATGTGTTTCAAAAAAGAGGGCAAGAAGAAAAAGTAAAGAATAAAAATTGCCTTTCTCAATTGGATGACGATGTTCATCAAGTTCATAAATTTCTTTTCATTAAGTTGCCCGCGGTTACTGTCAAACAACTCAGCAAGAGATATCTTGTTCTTTATAGCTTGATAAAAAGCCTGTTGCCTCGAACTCAATTTGCAATGCACTGTAATTTCTGTTTTCCCAGTTAACTCAGAAACGACATCCTTCTTAACACGCCGTAACATGAAAGGCTTCAGAATGGCATGCTGGTGAAAAGTAAAAAAAAACAGATAAGGCCAAAAGTATTGTGAACAACCTCATGAATATAGAAGCCTTAAAATTCATATGACTAAACCAGTGCTACCAAACAGTATGTGAGGTCCATGCTACGAGTACAGGTGCCAGGTAAAGTTAGTTGCTGATACGTAATTAATGAGGGTGGTTCAATTGGTACATTATCTGCATAAGTGACACATTGAAGTGCTATGATAATATCGTATTGTATGTGTATGTGCACCCACAACTGTAGTTCCTTTATAAGATGTAATATCACCCCATACATGATTAAGATAACTGAGACGTTGAAGACAAAGCAACACAATATGGTTTTATTTGTACATGTGCATGCCCACAATCTAATTTCCCCTTTCATATGTATCTTAAAATAAAAGATATACCCTTTGATCGTGTTTAAATTAAGATCGAGTATTTCCATAAAGAGTATTACATTTTCTTTGGCCAACAGAAAAGAACTTGAAAATATCAACGCACTGGACATACCTAATATATTATATCGACTTAATGGAGCTACACTTACTTTATCTCCCCTGGCATCTAATTACTCTTATCTTCCTTGTCTTCACATTCACAAAGGACACCAAACATCATTGGGAACAAAGATTAAAACTACACTGAAGATCAACATGATGACACAATGAAAATACAATATCATATGATTCTAATTAACGACTCGCATAAAATCCTATATTTTCTTAGAATGGTCAGATGATGGTAAACCCCCAAGGTGGCGTTTGGTTCAACGGGAATCCAATGAAATTGGAATGGTCGATTCCGTTAATTACCGCCCCATCTAGGCCACTGCTGCCATCACCACCATTGTCGTAATGGCCGCCACCACATTTAATAATAATAGTAATAATAATTATTATATTGTTATTATTATTATTATTAGTTTTATCATTGTATGGTATTTATAGTTTAAGCAATAAAATATGAAATGTCAAAGGGGGAAGTTTGGTCATTTATCATTATTTTATTACAATTCCGAAGTGATATTCAGCGAATCAAACAGACAGATTCTAAATCCTTTGACACATTCCTTTCCAATTCCTACCAACCAAACGCATGGTTAAACCTGGTCAAATTCCATTCTGGTTCCTTCATGTTTCAACTGCGGCTGATTCCGTTCTTTGAACCAAACACTACCTAATTCTTTGTAAATTCTCTTCTACATTCTTATTTGGCATTTGCTTTTAGGCTGCTCCAAGCCCGGTTTTGGTGAACAAGAATACCAACAATTTGGGTCATATAGCGGGGATCACAATGTGGAATGGTTATGTGAGAATCAAACAACATAGGACAGAGCATCTGTAATTCTGCAAAGGACAAGATATCTTACTGAATAAAGCACACCCTAGTAGTTTTCATAAGCGCATATGGGTACATCACCAGACACCCTATACTCAGGAAGAACATAACATAATTTCATTAAACAGAGGTAAACGTTACTGTAGGCCTATACATCATACGTCATTACATCTGGTCTACTTTAAATACAAGAATCCATGCCAAACAATCACTTAGAGAGAGGAGAGACAATCGCTATTGCTTTATAGGGTTAACAATGTGGCTGTGGTGATGCCACATCTTAATAATCCCTTATAAATTTCTATAAACAGGGTTAAAGTAAATCATCTTACGGTATTTTGAGAAAAACTACATCCTGGACATAAAACCAGTGGTGAACCCAGAGACACATGAGAAATTATTCCAGATTACGTAGATACACTAATCATGACAACGCTAATCATGACAAGAAGTAATAACGGCTCCTCACCTATAACTATTTGTGTTACTCCCAGAAACTACCATCAACACAACAGTGACTGAAGAAAGGACAATAACAATAAAACCACTAAACAAAAATCTGTGTGAAAGAATATGTTCCCGTCACATATTAAAGAATTGACATTATTCTAACCAATGAGCATTCCATTCTCATCTTCAAAAGTAATCAGACACAAGTAGAGATAACCAAATAAATCATTGTTCTGTGAAAACGATCCTCTCAAATATAATAATGCATGAACCAGGCAATCAACAATCAAACCTAGTAATTAGCCAGTCACAAGAAAGTAATAAGAAAGAAATCTACTTACCAATCTGCTAAGTTGGTGCTCGTTTAAAGTCCCACCATGTTCCGCATGGTTTTCAATACTGATGCATACACGGTGAAGCATGATCAGGGAAGCAATTCTTAGCTCTCTATTGTTGGAATATAAAGGAAATACAAGTCTTAAAATCGTTACCCTTTAGAAAACCACTCGTTAAATTGTTCATGGCTGTCAAATAGAGTCGGCATGATGAAATGAAGGAGGGCCCACAACTCAGCCATGTTGTTCTGAACAGGTGTTCCGGTCAGAAGCAGACGGTTTCGACAATTGAAACTGAGTAGTGTCTTCCATCTTATACTGTAAACAAAATTAAACAAAATACTATGAGAAATATTTGCAAACCCTCGACCACAGGTGAAACTTCTAATTAGCGGCAGAAGAATAGGAAGAGGAGTGACCAAGTACATTGGAATAGCCAAAAAAGCATGCCATAATTGCGTAAAAATGTACATGTATGCGTCTCTTATTAAATAAAGCATCACATGTATGCTAGCGAATACTCAAGTGTCGAGTAACATGCAACATCTACATGCAATGATGCAACAAAAATTTGGTACAGTTTCAGAGGCCCAAGTGCATCCCACCCTTGTTACTTAAAACTAGTGGGATCCACCGTTCAAAATCTAGAAATGTTGAGCACAATATAATTGATCACTTTAAAATTGACAGACCCATGTATGTTTGAATTTGAAGTAGTTTATACTTTATGGCATATGAATCTACCGCCAACCTGGACAAACTATTTCAGACTGAGAATCTTACCTGGTTGAACTTTTGATTGCCTGAGCTTCATCTAAGACCATATACTGCCATTTCACACGCCTGAAATACTTCTCATCGGACACAAGGAGTTGGTAGCTGGTGATGAGAATGTGAAATCCAGCATCCCTGAAGACTCAAGTTGTAGGAAACAAATAAGAAGCTTGCAATTCTCTAAAACTAGTGAAAACTGAATCGCTTAGTGTTATCTTACTGTTACCCAAGGAATGCACGGTTAGTAAATCTTTGGTTATTGGTTAGAAGACAATATAGAGGGTGTGCTTGCTTGGTTATTTACTTTTCCCTGGTTCCTATTTCATCTTCCCAAATGCACTTCTTAATTTTTCTGTAAGTGGTTTAACCTGTTTGCTTATAAGAAAAAAATATAATGCAGAAAAACCACCACCCTAACAATAAACCAAAAAGATGGGTTGACTGTAGTCAGCAATTCACTTCAATCCGTATGTTAACACAAAGTAAATAATCTGCTAGGGAAGGTGTGTAAGCATTTGCTGATTATAGGAAGTCTAAAGATTTGCACTATTTTAGAGAAATCAAAATCGTTAATAGGTATTGAGACATTCCAAAAGGGGGGCATCTCCAAAGATGGTGCAAAGGCTTTATGTTGTTTGTGTGTTCTTGTGGCCAAAATACCTGGATGCCCGAAAAGCAATCTTGTTACTTATGCTAATGGCAATGTGAGGTGATTTTGCATTTTCTTAAGCAAAGTTTACCTGCTTACAGATTCCAAAAGCTGCAACTAAGACAGGTATAAAGCCATTTCATGGTACTTTAACGTTTCAGATTGTCTTGGCAATACTTTGGCAGAAAACAATGCAAGGATATTGGGGAATTATCTCTTTCATCATAGGGTTATTCAATGTTTTTTTCTTTTTTGTTGGTCAATCTATTGGTCTGGACTTGGACAGTGTGGTTAATTAATGCTTTGCTAGGCTCTTCCTTTTATCACTCTACTTAAAAATCAAATATGAAACTTCGTACACCTTAAAGCTCATAGGACGAAAAGAGATCTTTTAGTCCCTTTTTTAACCATGTGTTCTCGCATCTAACTTCCTTTCCTTCTCTTTAATAAATACTTCTGCACATAAAGTTAACATACATGGATACTCCAATACCACCAAAGGCTACTAGCTTTTATAACTTAGTAAAGAAGTTCATTTTGCAGATATCTGAACCCTGTCACTGTGAATACCTTCCTCTGACCACAGCACAATAACAACAAAGACAGAAACACAAGCAGTCTGGAGCACTGTGTTTATAACTATAACTTATAATAATGAAAACAAAATAAATCAATATAAAATATATATAATAGGAGAACCCTGGTGAATGGTGACAGAAGAGTACCTACGATAAAGACGCTTTGGATTGATGTTTTTCCTAAGTATCGTCCGCTCTTGAATACCGCCCCAATAAGGAAGTGTTTTTAAGTCGGGGCAGAAGCGACCAATTTCATCAGCCCAGTTGTTCAAGACAGAAGTAGGTGCAACAACCAGAAATGGGCCCCATATATTTTTCTCCTGCAAAGCACAATCATTGCATGCTATTATAACTAAACAGTAGAGGTCAAAGATTATCAGGTAGTTTACTTACTTCAGCCAAATGAGCCAAGAACGCCATTGCTTGGATAGTTTTCCCAAGGCCCATCTCATCAGCAAGAATCCCATTTAGACCCTTTAAGACAACAAAGTCAACAGCTCAAAAGGACAGTAGGAAAGAGGAGTGAATAGGGAACATATGTCCTCCTGGGATACTTTATTACCTGTTCATAACAATTCACCAGCCACTGGAGACCTTTTAGCTGATACTCTTTCAGAGAACCTTTAAATAACTCTGGTGTCTGTACTGAGGACGCTACTGGCATAGTTGAGCTGAATTTTTTTAGAAAAGGCACCCATATAAGTAGACTAAACTCCTGAGGAGAACACAGAAGAACATACTGAGAAAAGAAAAAAGAACATACGGGTGCAACAAATCTATGTTGCTAGATCCAGCAACTGCTTGTTCAGGGTCCTCAGCAGCTGAAGCTTGACGCAACCTCGAACATTCGTCATCAAATGCACTAGTGATCATTTTCTGCTTGGAGACTGCATCTTGGGCTGCTTTCAGGGCTTCCATTTTCATTTCAGCCTCTTCAGGATCTTCTTCTGCACCTACTTCTGAAGAACTCATAATTGCTTCTTGATCATCCCCTTTGTCCTTTTCAACTAAAATCCCAGGCGGTTGGGAAGATGGCTTATTCTGCATGAAGTGACCATAGAGTTCTGTTTGGGACAACAGAAAATTTAACCTCTGTTGTTGCCGCTTGGCTTCACGAAGCTCCTGTTCGCGCTTTAAAGCTTCGGCAGCTTCTTTTTCTTCTCTTTTCCTCACTTCGGCCTGAAGGAGAGAGATGAGTACAACTGAAATCATTCCCCAAGCAAAACATTTCCCAAAAGAAACAGCATTCCATTACAAAATGTTTTTTGTCAAACTAATAAGCGTAAATTACAGCAATTGTCCCTGGATCATTCCTAAATGTGCAGATTTGTCTATAAAGAATTTGTGTTGCATCTTTGGTCCTCGAATGAAGAATTTTGACTGAATGAAGTCCCTTTGCACGTTACCTTAAGCTGCCCTCTCTTAAGAGTTAAGAACATCGTGAGCAATGAACATGCCTATTTAACTTAAAGGGTGCATTTGTCAACTCCTTGGTTAGCCACTCTTTTTGTCCTCCAGTTAAGAAAGAGAAAAAGAAAATCTACATTCATCATCGTCATCTCCTTAACAGCTGACCCTCACCATCCCCATCTCTGCCCACTCTCTCACCTCCATATTCATCCACTCTCTGCTCTTCACACGCAGACACAACATTTCCAGCATCTTCTTGAACATTTCTCGAACGTAGAAAGTGTAAACAAACTCACACACATATGTGCACACTTTTCACACACATCAAAGAATGCAGCTGAAACAGATTAATACCCATTGTTTGCAATTTGCAAGCATTACTTAGAGAAGGCCATATCTAGCAGCATACAGCATTAACATCGACGAATGGCAATAAGAATGAAGGACTGGAAGTATTTCTTATACTCATTAAAGAAAAAGAATGGGGAGAATAAACAACAAAGTGTATGTGTGGTAAATGAGTATCAAAGTCTGTAAGAAAAAAAATAAAGGCAATAGCTGCAGTCTTTTTTAGTTATCAATTTGATCGTAGTTGTCCATATTATTACTGAGAAGGGGGTGAATTGAGTCGAAACTTTATTGACAAGGGAATGAATATCCAAGAATTGAACCGGAATCCAACAGCCAAAAAGTGTTCAAAATGCCCCTCGTGAGAACTCACTTGACTGACACCAGAATTGAAATTCTATAATTAGCCAGAGGGGGATGATAAGGGGGCTTTCAAAGAGGATGATGAGGGAAGGGGGAAGCAACGGGAGTGGAAGGAGGTGGTGGTGTTTCACCAAGGGGTTGGAAGCGGGTGTTAAGCTGAGGGAAGGGGTCAATGTTTTTATTAACATTTTAACATAAAGAAGTTGCTTAAAGGGAGGGAATGGGTTTTGCTATCTGTTTTGAAATATTTTGCATTTCTCTAACACATGTGAAGACAGGAACTACCTGCTACCACCAGGGTGAGTACACATCAAAGTCAAGAATGATTTGTGATTCACTCAAATAAGACTTCAATACTCTAGCAACAAGCTCCACATTCTACTACAGAATAATTGTTATCAGAAAAAATTGGTGTTGTATCAAGATATATATCAATGTATCTTAATAAAGAACAATTCTTGGTTGAACATCCTTGATCCTTCTATAAGCACTTACTAAGCCAACAACTCTAGGCCAATGAACAAAGAAAAACATTCAGCTTCCAATTGAAAACTTATGTCGTTAATGCATTATGATCACAAAAATAGTTTGTTGACAGCATGCTTTGTGATCAGTCAATCATCTTACTAAGCCAACAACTCTAGGCCAATGAACAGAGAAAAACATACAGCTTCTCCTATTCTATTGAAAGAAAAGATAACATCTATTCCATTTGACTAAAGCTGCATATGTATAAAAACCTGACAAGTCAGCAAAGGTATTAGAACAGTTTTAAAATACTTAAATGATAATAAGGATTGGAGGACCAATCCGGAAAACAGAGTTAGAATCTATGACATGTGCTCATTATATCCTAATATCGGAGATGAGAATTCAGGTGAAAATATCTATCCTAATTCATAATGGTGCCCACATTGAAGTTAGTACCCATCTGTTCTATCCAAATAGAATGCTCTTCTATACACCGAGATCCTTTATTGTAAATACTTCAGATCATGGGAAATCAGATAACACAAAATCAGAGAAGGTAATCAAATAAACACGACCTTTGGTTTTTACACTGCAGAACTACTGAATAGATTTCCTCATAAATAAGCAAGGCATTCATGGTGTAAACTGTAAAGAACACTTTTCGATCTTCTTTATAAGATTCATGTTGGCTGTTATGCCTAATAAATTGAAGTACAAAAAGATTACCATCTCTTTATCCACTCTCTTCCAAAAAACCAACATATCTCTTGCCAGCTTCCTTGTGCGGATTGAAGCACCCCTCATCAACTTAAGTGATCTGCTCACTTTCATCTTCACCTGGAAGGAAGAAACAACATCTAAGCATGCCAAACAGAAATAATATCTGAAAAGCTAGCACTCAAAACTATATGATGGAATTTTGACCAAAACTTGTAGATACAATACAATATGAGTGGCATAAAATACTGGGACGAAACCTGATCTCAGAGCTTATGTACCTACCTCTCTTTGACAGTTCTCAGAAAACCTCTTCGCATCAGTTAATTGCTTTCTATGGAAGTTGATAAAAAACCTATGATGTTTTGGTATGTCTTTTCTAACCATGTTCACCCAATATTTATCAACTTTATCCATCTCCTCTTTCTCAACCATAGATGGATCTTTCTTCTCCTTTTGCTTCTTGGGTAAACTGCGTTCGATGATCTGGGGGTCAAACAATTCAAGAAGCATATGAATAGTGTGAACATAAGTCAACAAACCCTAACAAACAATAAAAGGCAGCATCTAGACACAGAATACAAACCTCGTATGTGTCCCCTTTCTCTAACACCTTCACATAGAACACCTGCAACACTCCACTTTCTGACATGATAGAACGCCTAAACCCTCCGGCTGCTCCCTCCGGAGCGGAATATGAATCCAACGCATCATCACTGACTTTAAGACTGAACTTCTGGGGGGAGTTATTCAATGTTGGGGAACTTAATCTTGCCCAAAGAGATTCATACTGGGGTTTAGGCTCACCCATCCCTGGTCCACTTCTAGGGCCAAGCCTTTTGTCAGCAGACATCATTGAAGCTAATGAGCCCAAATCAAGGGTGCCTGTAAGGTAGAACTCCTCCACTCGGATCTCTGACGTTCTAGGCAAGTTTAATGAGGTAGCCAACATCTCATAAGTTGGAGGAATCTTGTATGTGATGCCATCGCCAATGTCCAAATATGCAGGTTCACAAACTGACCTGAGTATTAAAGTAGACAGCTGAGACATAGGGCATATGAGTATCATAGAAATCATATACACTTCAAACAACACAAACCTGTCCATGCCATACTCTGGGGCAAAATCTGCCTCTTTGTAGTGCCCCAGATTCTGAGGAATTGTTTCAATCTTGCGTGCTCCTCCTGAACGGCCATTCACTATTTTATGGTCCTTCGATCCAAGGCTATTCTTCATGCCAGACGTTCCATTTCGGTTGGAGGCCGAAGTTGGCAAATTATTACTTTTGTGCCTTCTCTTGTACTTATGAACATGCTCCCCAAGCATTGCTCTATATTGTTCCTCAGAAAAGTAAGTGTCGGAGATGTCATCCTGGTCCTCATCACTGCTATACATGTTTCGCCTCTTTCTTTTTTCCGACATCATTCCATTACTTCGGTCCGTCATTGGTCCACCTGCTCGTAGCCAACCCAAGTTCAAGATGCACATTTAATCTATACATTATCAAGCCCTAATAGTTCAACTACTGGATATAACGTAATCAATTCAAGCAACAGTAGCCATGTTTTTTTATGTATCAAATTACCAAATACTGAAAAGAATGATCCTTTTTAAACTCACAATTGTAATTCTACTTGATATCTATTGAGAACCAAGTGAAAAGGGGAGTTGAAAAGACGAATTTATGCCTACCTCTGCTCTCACCCTGACTGCTATTTGCATAATAATCAAACTCGTCACCATGAGGCAGTTGAAATTTCGTCAGAGACTACAAATACAAACCCAGCAAGAAAAATAAAATAGAAGAACCCATAATTACTCGACAGAAAACCTAGCTTCCAGTAAAGTGAATCTACCTAGCAACAATTGAATAAAACAACAGCAAGATACAATTGGAAAAGCTGCGAAACAAAATTCAAAAAGAGCCCACATACATACCTCAAGATTGAAGAGATTCGAGTAGTTATACGAGTTCCTGAGATTGCGATCGGATTCCATAGGGTGTTGTGGTAGTTGGAAAGCGGCACTCTGAAGAAGAAGAAGAAGAAGAAGCACAACAACAAGAAAAGTAAAACCGTAGGTTTGTGAATAAAAACATCGAAGAGCAGAGAAGATAATGAGGAATTTTATTTGGGAGTAGAGAGAGAAAAAAATAGAAACCCTAATCCTGTTGGAGAAGAAGGCGGAGGAAGTGCGCAGGATAAGAAGCTACGGGTTGGCATTGCGAGTTGATTAAGGTCCCGCTGCTAACGTGAGCAGGTCGTGCGTATGGATTGATAACGTGAGCCTGGGTATTTCCTTTTTGAACCAAAGAGCTTCCGGTCTCTTTATGATCAACTCCTCTGCCTCTCTGTACACAGATTTTCTCAAAACAGAGATGGTTGAGATTAGTTAAGCTACAGACGGGTCCACTGTAATTTATTTGTGGTAAATCTTCGATTGCATCCACGTGGTTAAACCACCCGTTGATTAATAAAATTAATACAAAATGGTTAAAATTTATATCGGCTCTTTTTATAACAAGAAGTAGGGAATTATTATTATTTTTTTAAAGTAGGGAATTAAATAGCAATTATTGTTTGTTTTACATGATAGAATAAAAGATTGATTATTGTTTGTTTTATGTATTAAATTACGTCTTTGTAGCTAATTAATCTTAAGGGCCATTTACCAAACACTTATCTAGATAAGTGTTTATCAAGTCACATTACCTCATCGAATGAATATGGTAAGAACTAAGAATCTTACCCGGTAAGAACGAAATAGCGATCAAAAGTCTCACCCAATAAGTGAAGCCGACGACTCTTACCATGGTAAGCACTTACCGATTAAATTGTTGTATACGATGCTGTTTTGATGGACTAAATCTACCTCGTAAGTAAATAATAGTGTTAAATTTTACCTGTAAGCACTTACCGAGTAAGTATTTAGTAAACGGCCCCTTAGACGTCCGCCTTATTTTGGTATCTTTTGGTTATGATTCTTAAAATTCATTAATTACACAGGTGGTCTTTATTTTATGCTTCATAGTTTAAATTGTCTTTGAAATCAACACTTTTACTCAATTGGTCTTATGGTTTTGGATATCATGAATGGGGAGTCAAAAGAATGCCTGTAATCCAATAAACGAAGAGAATACACAAATTTGTAAAGAGTTTGAAACTTACTCAAGTTACAAGTCTCATACGTTGGTTTTTATTGTAAAAGAAGTTACAACAGGGGACATAAACCAAAATCCCCAACAACAGAAAACAGAGATTTGATCACTTGGCTAAAAATATTCAAAGCAATTTCATCAACGTAAGGCTTATCGAAGGAAGTCATTAGAGTTAGGGTTACTAACAAGTTCTTAATCAAGACATTCCTCGACGTGATCATTTGAATTAGGATTGCTAACAAGCTCTTCAGCATGATTTCTAATGGGTTTTTGTCGTCTTAACAAAAAACTTATTTAATGATTGAACAATTTCTACTTGTGTTTTTTTTTTCTGTTTTGAGCACTGGATGCTTGTTACGTAGCCCCAGTAGACATATTTAATTAGTAAACAACGAATAAGAAAATCACTTAACTGAATGAAATCGGTATAAAGAAAAACCACTAAAGTCATCAAGAAATTAGCAAATAAACATATGAAATCACTTAAATCAACAAGACAACAGACAAACATAAACTCATCCAAATTCAAGGGTTTTTAAGAAAATCAAACCAGATAGGTAAGCCTTCAAGGGAACTAAGCGAGAGAGAAGGGGTGAGAAATGGGAAGAGCTGAGAAAAAGGCCGACGCCAGAGCCAGAGGCTGGACTCGTGAGGACAAACACGTGAGGCAAGCGGGAGAGCATAATTTGTTCTTTGAAGCTAAAAAACTTAGTCTGAACTATGATGCCCTTTGGACTTTGCTGTCCTGGGTCGTTGCCCTCTTTGCCCAGCACTTATCTCGACCATGCTTTCACGTTCCAGGTTCTGGTTTGGTCCACCACATGCAGAGTTCTACATTTATGTTGGATATGCATATTCTAAAGCTAACGATTTAATGTTCAATATGCAAATTCTCAAGCCAATGATTAGCTTTCTCAAGCTCCCAATGACACTAGATTGTCACATCAAAGGTTGGCTAGGTTTTAGGATTTTAAATTACAATTTTTTTTTTCTTTTCTGATCGATGTCACTGATATTGCCTGGAACATTTAAACGGATACGAGAAAAAGAGGGATTTTTGTTGTTCTTTGGTTATTGATGTAGTTGATGTTTTATCAGAGCTTCAATTGTGAATCTCAAATATATGGGGCTTTATGAGTTTCTTCATTTCTTTATGCTTTGGTAAAGCTTCAATGGTAGCATCAAACAAGTATGGTTTAAACAACTGTAAAATTTGACCACTGATTTAATGTTGGTGGGGGAGAAAAAAGGAATGAGATGGGATAGACGTTATTTGACTACAGAAGGGTGTCGCTGGTAGGGACATAGTATAAAGGAGAGAGGGTAGGGTGATAACGTGTCGTATATTGTTTGGTTCAAATGGGAAACACAAAAATGTTGAAAACGAAAGAAACAATCTCAATCACTAGTTTAAAATTTGATTTCAATTTTTTTTTCCGCTAATTTAGATAACTATACTATCCTAATTTATCTTCTATTTTTTCTATAACATTTTTGATACTGATAATCATTGAATTTTTTATATCCAAATTTCCACCTTGAAATCATTGAGAATTTTACAATCTACAAATCGAATCAATCTCATTTGTCTAAATCTTAAACGTGAACACAAATATCGATGTTTTTCGTTGGTCTTAATCAGATGCAAAAGATCCCAACAAACCATTATCAGACAGTGATAATCAGATATATATTGATTCAGATGTTCACGTGCTAAAATAGAGAATCAAACTATTTTTCTATCATTTCTCTAAAATAGAGAATCAAAAGTTAACTTTTTTAATAAAAAAAAAATTACATTTAACTCTAACATATTCTCTATTTTAAAGATTTCAACATCTATCATATTATTAAAATATTATATAACATAATTCCAATACATTTTTTAAATAGAGTTTATATAAAATAATGATAATTCAACATCATTATTAGGAACGAATAAAAAATTAACTTCTCTCTCCATATATCCAAGTTTTAATGATGCATTTTACTCTAAAAGTGAATTACGTTTTTTTATCTATATGATTTGGTGTTTTTAACGGATATTGTCTCTGTTATGAAAAAATAACGAGTTAGGTTCCTATGGTTGTTCTTCTTTAATGAGTCGTGTTTCTAATGCAACCATAAGGACCCAACTCGTTAATTTATTCAACAACACAACTTGTTGGAACTGTAACCATATGTACTCATCTCGTTAAAAAAAATCCAACTGTAAATTCATGATTCGTTAATTTTTCAAAATAGAAATAAAATCCGTTAAAAATCAAACTAAAGGGACAAAAAATGAAATTCACTCCAACAACACATAATGTGTAAATTACAAAGATCACTATTTGAGTGTGGATCATAGTTTTGGACTTCCTTCCATACTTTATTAGTTTATTTGGGAAATGGTAGATTCAATATTTTGTTTTGAAAATACAGTTACATATGTGGTTTTGAAAAAATGATAATGTTTTTATTTTTTGAATAAAATATAAATTTGAGGATATAAAAATTTGAAAAAAACATATCGATATTAGTATCAAATTAATTATATAAAAGTTTTCGTTTTTTTGTAATTTATTTAACTCAATTTTTTATTATAATTTCATTTAAGTTTAATAACAAAGTAATTTATTTTTGGTTTCATAATCTAATTGTTTTATAAAGACTAGAAGAGTACTCGTGCAATGCAACGAGACACATCTCGATTGTAATGTTCTATTTTTATTATTTGTCTCTATCGATGTTATAATACGATTTTATGTGCTTTTAAGAAAACATTAATGATTTTATTTTTGAATAAAATATAAATTTGAAGAAAAATATATCAATGTTAATATCAAATCAACTATTTAAAAGTTCTTATTTTTTTATGTAATTTTATTAATTTATTATAATTTAATTTAAGTTTAATAATGAAATAATTTATTTTTGGTTTAATAATATAACATTTTATAAATATAATAATTAAGTATTGTGTTAGAACTCAATGATTATCCTAATTATATTTTAGATTTTTTATATTTAAAATGAGATGTTTATCCTATATTTGATTATGTTTATMTGCAGTTAGTTACACAAATTCATATATGAAGCTTTAATAACTTGTACTTACGCACAATCTATTTGTAATCTTGAGTTTTAAGTAATATGCATTAATAAACAGTACTTTACGCATAAAAAATGTTTTTTAAGAGTTTTTGTCAAATGCTTTATAATATAGTATAGATAATAAATAAATATTTTATTTGAACTCCATGATTATCCTTATTATATTTTAGAATTTTTTTTATTTAAAATGTAATATTTATCCTGTATTTAATTATATTTATCTATAATTAGTTACAACAATTCAAGCATGGAGTTTTAATTAGTTGTACTCATGCACAGTCTACTTGTAATCTTGAATTTTAAGTAATATGTATCAATAAACAGTAATTTATACATAAAGGATGATTTTTAAGAGTTTTTGTCAAATATTTTATAATATAGTATAGATAAGTAAAAAGATAAAGATACGAAACCGAGTTCTAGATAGATAATAAACCAAACGCAATCTTAAGAGTTTGTTTCGTTTATAGGATTTGAAGAGATTAAAGATTCTAAATCCTTCAATGAAAAAACAAATCCCTAAAATACATTGTGTCAACCTAAACAAGCCCTTAATCCCCTGTTTGGTTTATAGGATTTGATAGAATTTGGAAATTAATTTCATTCCAATTATATGTTCGGAATTGAAATCCAAAAATTTCATTGAGATCCCACAAACATGAGATTTAGAAATTTCACGGAGTCGTTTGCTATTTCACGAGATTTCGCATGATTTGTTTATGATAATGGTCTAAAATATGTTTAAAAAATTGTTTTGCACAATAATCAATTAATAAAAAGAAAATTTATTTATTTTTTTATAATTTATTTTTATAAAATATTTATAAATAATGAAATTCAATTCCAATTGAAATACTACAAACCAAACACACACTAAAAAAAACTAAAAATTTTAAATCCTTTCATAAATTTAAATCAATAATGATAATTGCAATATAACATAGCAAAAATAAATACCATAATAACAAGAATTAAAAAA